CCCCCCACCAGCGAAGTCCGACCCCCGTGGCAAACGCTTTTATGCCACGGGGGACGACCCCCACTCCTTTGCTACCACCAACGGAGAATTCGCCCGCGCAACAGAACGCTTTACGTTGCGCGGGCGAACCCCCGAACCCGGATCAGGGCACTCTCGGTGCAATGGGCATTACTGCCCTGAGAGTACCCTGAGAGTGCCCTGCCCGCAGAGAGGACACTACTTCCGTGAAAAATTTCCCGGCCCCGCCGTGGAATATGTCCACGCGGCCCGGGAAACGGGGCCTCTGGTTTCCCAGGGCCCCTCTCCGGGAGGCATGGGTCCACCGCAGAGACCTCTGCGGGTCCCCATCGCCTCCCCCACGGCTATCAGACAGGATCCCGTCCGCCCCCGACCGCACGGAGTCCTGCCCTCCAACCGCGTCTCCATCAGTGACACCCAGTGTGCAATGGGCGGTCGTTTATGAAAAACGACCACCCACTGGGCAAACCTGATGGTGAATGTATGGGTGCAATGTGGGCGAGCCCACTCCATACATTCTCGACCCTACTCCGGCGTGGGCTCAATGGTTTACGTCAGAGCCCGCCTGCAGCCTACGACTGCGTCGCCTCTTTGGCCCGTGAGGCCCCAAGGGGGAACCCCCCCTTCCTCCTGAAGGGAGAGGGGGAGGAATCCCCCCAGAGACCCACGGATCATGGTGGACGACCACCACTCCTCGCATGGTGAGAGAGCAGACCTCTCTCTAACGGTGCCGTGCCACCGGGATTTGAAGTCGGAGTTGCCTTCTCCTACCGGCGTATTGATTCCTCATCCTGTAACGGATGGTTCCTCCAGACCCCCCATGTTCCGAAGAGCATGGGGGATCCTTGGGACGTCGGATCCTAGCGTACAGATCCCCTCTATTTAACGAGGGACTCCGTACTGTGGAGTGTTGGCATCCGGGACTCTCAAAGAGAGCCCCGGGTGAGCCCCCGTGCCACGGCAAGGCCCTCCACGCACGGGGGCCCACCAATCTTTTTTTTTGTGACGCAGGGGAAATGCGTTACGCATCTCCGTCTCCCTCGGGGGAGAGAGACGGGGTATGTGGGACTCTCTCCTCGAGGTTATAAAACCCTCAAGGAGCCTACCTACTAAAATCCCTGCGGACGTACTTAACCCGAAGCGACTGGGACCCATCCGGGAGTTTCGCAGCAGTAGTACATCCGGATGGGCCCCGCTTATCTACTTTTGTAGCCTATCTCCTATTTACATGAGGGTGTGAGGACGCCGGCAACACACCCTCCTACCCTTTTACCCATCTCGAGGGAACTTCGGGCCCCCGCCCTCGGTTCCATGGGTCTATCCCGTGAGGGTCAGACATGTCTGACTAGGCCTCACAGCCCTACTGATTTTTTCATTAATACTTGAGACCAGCCGACCCGCTATTCGGTTCGGCTGTGTGTCTCCTCCTAACACCCCAGATATACTGGGTTAGGGCCACAGGGAGGGGTATCTAAGTTAAAGATGGAGAAGATACGCCTCCCCGTGGTTTCGAGGTTTCTAACAAACCTCTCGCCGCCCCGCTACTCGGTGCGACGGCCCCTCCTACTCTCGCCGCCAGCTCGCACGCGGTATTCACCCTGCCCGTACTCTGAACGTTAGGGCCGCGGGGAGGGGTGTCTAAGTTAAAGATGGAGAAGACACCCCTCCCCGTAGTGTCGAGGTTCACGCAAACACTTGGCTGCGATTGAACCTCTCACCGCTTACACGCGGTGTCCCCACCTACCCCCAGCACCTCATCGCACTTATACCATGCCCCCCGTCCTAATCGCGCTCTGGACTGGTAAGGCGAGCCATCCTCTCTCTATCTCTCTCCATATCCTCCTTCCTAGCCATCACCACTTCGCAGAATTCTAGGAAGGCTCTTCTCCCGTCTTTTCTTCTCAGGGCCATGATGATTGCCCTCCAGTCAAGGTTTTGCCCCAGCACGTCTTGTAGTATATTCCTTTCCACTGTCCAAGCCGGACAGTAGCGAAGCGTGTGCCTCGCAGAGTCGACCTCTGTCCCGCAGCTCCAGCATTCTGGCGTGAGCTCCCTCCTGATGCGACACAGGTACCGTCCGAAACAACCATGTCCCGTCAGGACCTGCGTCGCCCGGAAGGAGAGCCCCACCTTCGCATCCAGCCAATCCTCCAGCTGACCTTGAATGGCCCTGACGACGACGTCCTCCTCTGATGTTTGGTCATACTTCCATGTCCTCCATTTTTTGACTAGATTTCTTTTTGTCGCCTCCCTGATGCCTCGATGGTGGACTTCGGTATCGGGATGTCGTTTGGCGTGTTCCTCCTTATCTCGGTGATCCTTACGTACGCCTCCTCCTGTCTCTTGGCCTCCAACTCAAGAGGTGGCATCCCTGCCAGCGTTGAGTTAGTGATCCACGAGGTCGTCCTATAAGCTCGGATGACCCTACCCGCCATTCGTCTCTGCGTCTGTCTGATGGTTTGCAGACACCTCCTGTTTTTGTCTATTTCATATGCCCCCACCGGGGCGCCATATAAGGCCATTGAAGCCACCACCTGAGCATAAAGTCTTCTTGCTTTATTGTTAGGTCCTCCCAAGTTCGGGAGGAGCCTACTAAGACTTAATGCAGCTTTCTCCAGTCTTGGAGAGAGACTGGAGAAGTGGGCCTCGAAATTCCATTTACTGTCTAGTACCAGTCCCGGGTATTTCATATTTATACCAACGTTAATAGTCGTTCCTGCGACCCTCAGTTTCGTGTGAGCCGGTCTGCCTCTGTCGTGAAAGCCTACTGCCTCTGTCTTATCCGGAGCTACTTCCAGTCCCAGGTCCTGGATCCTTTGTATGACCGCGACTGTAGCGATGTTAGAGAGGGTGGTAGCCTCCTCCCAGTCTTCCCCAGTCGTCAAGATCAGGGTATCGTCTGCGTAGCAGATAACCAGGCTCTCGGGTGGTAGTTCCCTCCTATCCATTATCACGTTGAAACCAATGTTCCAGAGGAGTCGCCCGAGGATAGACCCCTGCGGCACCCCTCTTTCTACTGATTTATGTCCCACTGTGCCGTCGTTTCTACCAAATGATAGCTTCCTATTTTCAAGGTAGCTCCTAATTATTTTCCTAAGATACAAGGGTACCTTGTGTTTTAGAAGGACCTTTCCAATGTTATCCCAGGGCAGCGTATTAAACGCATTTTTGATATCAAGAGAAACTCCGGCTACCTTATTGCCACTGTCAAATTCTTTCCTCCATGAATTCCCTAGCTGTATTAATGGCGTCTATAGTCGACCTTCCCTTTCTAAAGCCAAACTGCATGGGTTCAGGTTTGGTCCCCTTTCGTCTAGGTGTTTTACAATCCTATCAGCGATGATACGTTCTAAGAGTTTCGCTTCATTGTCTAGTAGGCATATGAGTCTATAACCTGACGGTTGGTCGTCCGGTTTACCCATTTTCCTCAGGAGCACCAATTTGGCATTCTTCCATACACTGGGGAAGTGTCCTTTCTTTAGACATTGCGAGAACAGCTTAATTAGATCACCTGCCATTGCGTTCACGGCCAGGGCCCATACCTTCGAGGGTATCCCACTAGGACCCGGTGCCGCATTCTTACTCTTCATTCTGCTAGTTGCGTGGAGTAGTTCCTCGTGGGAGACCTCAAGATCCGCGTGCCAGGCTGTAGCCCCCTCTGGTGGTATCTCCGGTTCTCGCCATTCGGGTCCCATTCTTATTGTCAGTGGGAATAACCCGGTGAATACCCGATCTAGGGTTCCTTCCTCTAGGGATTCAGTGTATGGTGGCGTCCACCTCCTCAGTTTTCCAAGAACTAATTGGTACGGGCGCCCCCATGGATCTTCATTAAGGGACTGTATGAATTCCTCCCACGCTTTGGCCTTGGCCTTCCTTATAGCTTTGCCAAATCTGTCCCTGGCTAGTCTAAAGTTAAGGAAGCTGATTTGGTTTTCCATCTCATTTCCGTTAGTCGTCCTTCTTCTGTATCTGCGTAATCGTCTTCTCGCCCTGGTTAGTTCCGGGCGTAGCATTGCCAACTCCTCTGTCCATCAGGGCATGGCTCTGCGTGGTCTTGGTGTGGACCTGGGCATGGAGGCATCACACGCCTCCACCATTGCCCTCTGAAGAGACCTTGCCTGTGCCTCAGTGTCTTCTGCCTCTTGGTTTCTCCTTGGCCATGTTCTTGCCGTGATTGCGGCAGTGAACATGTCCTCGTCCAATCTTTTTGTGGCCCATCTTTGGACTTTCGGAAGTTTTCTTCTTCGTATCTGCGCACCCGAAAGACTTACGGTGATCTCAATGTATCTATGGTCGGATTTCGATTCCCTCTTGGAGACTGTCCAATTGACAATTCTTCTGGAGGCAATCGGATTGGCGAATGTGACGTCTACAATCGACTCCCCATTTATCCTAACACATGTGCTTTCGTGCCCTCTATTCAGGCAGCACATGCCCATAGCACTAGCCCATTCCGCAATTAGAGTACCTCGCGGATTGGTACTCCTGGAGTTCCATAACATTGACTTGGCATTTAAGTCGCCTTCAATGATCATGGGTCTGTCTATGTTTCGTATGGCCCATCTCTCTAACTCTTCGAGTGCTTCCTCACACTGGGGTATACCAAGACTTGGAGGTAGGTAAATCCCTACGACCACTATGTCCCCCCATCTAATAGCCACGAAATGTTCTCCCCTATCATATGGGGTGCACGGCATTGCTTCCTGAGCCTGTCTCCATGTGATTGCAATAGTTTCCGTCTCATTAGAGTACCAGTGAGGGTGGTCCATCGGGATTGTATAGGGTTCTGACACGATCGCCAACGCGAAATCTCCCTCCGCCATCGTTTGCAAGAGTACGTCGCGAGCGTCTCTTGCGTGGTTAATATTGGCCTGGAGTACTAAGTTAACCATTATTATTTGGCTTGGAGATTCCTCCTTCTCCTATCTTTCCTGATGCCGATGCTTGGTCTTCTGTGTTCCATTTTTGTCCTTGTTCTGGCCAGTCCATTCCATGAGTAAATTTAGCCTCGGGCGTCTTCCACTCTTGGGGATTGTCCACTTCCATATTTTCAATCGTAGAGTCCTGTAACGTCTCTGCAGTTTTTGTATCATTGACGCTGCACGCAGCCATGGACCTTGTAACGTTATTCTCGACCTCTCCTGTTACGTTTATCGCCTCCACAGGGGTATTATTTGTCCCCGGCTCCGCATCGATTACCATCGCGTTATCGTTCCTTGTAGGCTCTTGCACTATTTTTAACGGAGTTGGTTTGACTCTACTTTTCCGTCCTGCCGCGTTCGGTTTACATGCCTGTCCCCCCATTCTATGGTTGGCTTTTAGGCCTTAATCGGCACATATGATGCAGTGCACGGATTCTTTGCACCCTTTGGCGTTATGGCCATTCTGCCCGCATCTGTAACAGGCCATCGATCTATCTATTTCGTTCCGACACTGATTCCTTATGTGGCCGGTTTCTAAGCATCGATGGCATTGCAGTGTCCTCTCCGGTAACAACTCCACTCTTACCATTGTCCAATCGATAAGTATCCTTTTGCAGTTTGCAAGTCTTTTCGCAGCGGCTATTGGACATTTCAGCCAGGCCATGCCCAGTCCGTTATTGGCTGGTACGATGTCTCCTAGCTTAATTGTGTCCTTGGAGCACTCACCCTTTTTGGCTAATGCTTCTATTATATCCTCTTTTCTGGTCGATTCCTCGAGGTCCTTCAATCTAATGTCCGCCATCTTCTCGGGACGAGTGATTAGTACTCTCTACTTAGTACTTTCTCGTTCCGAGGGCTTCTTTGAGCTTACCGGCTAGCGCATCTGCTTTGCTAGCCCCTTCTTTTCCCGGGATCTCAAGAAGGAGTGCTCTTGTTCTGGCCTTTCTTGGCCTTATCTCCGGGATTTCAAGGCTATCAATATCCACCTTGGTCTTTGCAATACGCATAACCTCCGCATGAGTTGCCTCACCGCGGCAGCTTATTTGTACGGCAGCCGTTCTGGGCACTCTCCTGTTGGTTTTAATCCTCTCTTCCCTTGTTTTTAGGGATTTCGCCGGTGTAGCTGCCTGAGATTTACTCCTAGAATCAGTTGTCTTCTCTAAGTTGGTTGTCTTCCTATTTTTCCTACCCACCACCTTGGATCAAGATAGGTCGAGTGCTTTCTCCTCTATGTCTGTAAAACACTCGTTCACCGATTTGCTTTCCCTCTCCTTCTCTATCCCAGTTATTTCTTTTCTAGGAGTTTCTATACTCTTAGATTTGCTGGGTTGTTTGACTTCTTTTGTTTTGGTATTTTTATCCATAATCCCCCCTTTTTTTATTGTGATTGGGGTCCTCACCGTCTGAACTTCCGTAATCCGTGGTTTTTAGTGATATTTTTCTAGCTCTTCCGCCACAATTCTCCTGATCATACTGGCCAGGTCTATTGGATCATTGCTCGTTCCACTCTTCTTGTCTCTCTTGTTCTCTTCTCTTTCCTTCTCATTATGTCCTTCCGCAATGTATTCCTTGTGCGCTTTATAGATCGCGTTTTGTATCTCTGGCTCTTCCTTTATTATCTTCCTTTTACCGCATAGTGTCGGTCGAATGACCTCTGGCCAGTTCTCGGGTTCGTCTAGAACCACCTTGGCGGTTTTTGTAGATTTTTCCTCATCTACCTCCATGTATTCCGACTCGGAGGTAATAAGTTTCTCCCGTGCCTTTATACTAGCCGAGGGAGTCCTTCTGTTTGGAGTATCCATTGAGGATTTCCCTTTATCCGAATGCAATTTCCCCTTGCTATTACCTTCTCTTTCCTTCTCTTTATCCTTTGGGCTCGGGGTCTTGTCCTTCTTTCTCTCCGCTCTTTTCTTCTTCAGTGCCTGTAGTTCTAACTTATATGCAGCGGCCTCTCCGGCTGCCTGTATGGCCTTTCTTTTTTCCCCTTCTACTTCTGTTTCTAATTTGTCTTTTAACTAGCGATCTCTCGTTTGAGTAGTTTCATCTCCTCCGACTTGGCTTCCTCTTTAGTTAAGGATGCCCTTTCTGTCAGTATTTCCAGGATGCCCATTGAGGACGCCGCAGCAAGTCTGAGACTTTTCTGGAACGTTCCTTTGAGATTACTCGAGGTTTTAGCGATTCTTATGACCTCGGTCATATTTTCGGTCACCCTGTTTGCCAGGTCTTCGGTGGACTTGACCTCCATCTGATCTTTGATTTTATCCAGATCAATTTTCGACTTTTTAAACAATTCATAATTGTCATACTCCCTTATGATCTTCTCCTTTTCTAATTGGAGTGCCTCTTCCTTGGCATCATTAAATTTGAGAATTGCTTCCCTTCGACCTATGTAATCGCCAGTCGTCCTGCTCTTTCTATATCCCGACTCTGCATCAGATGTTATTCGTTCCCTCCTTCTGTTACCTCCAGTTCTTTGAGGTCCCTTACTTCCTGTGTTCACCTTTTCTGGGGGTGAAGTATCCGAGTCGTCCTCGATTATCCTTCCTCTTCCTCTCGTTCTTCCATACTCTGGGACGTCACTGTCGGAGCTAATTTCTTGTGTCTCCGTATCCATAGCTGATGTTTCCTTGTATGATGAGTCAGCCGTTCTTCCATCGTATGATTTTGGACCGGGTTTTTTGAAAAAGTATGTAGAGGGTTGTGGATCCGTGTTTTCCTTCGGTCCCACCGATTTTGGATCTTGTAATAGACCCTCTATATAGATTGTTTGACAGAGTTGGCCTGTCAAGAATTGTTCCAACTCCATTATCTCTTCCTCGGCTTCGCCAGTGTTCTCCCTTTCTTTCTCCTTACTCCTTAAAGTGTTCTTATCGGATGTTGTTTGTTTTTTATTTAATTCCATTGTTATTTTGTCCCACTCCCCGTGTCGGCTGCGCCTTCCAGGGTATACCCTCCCCGCCAATCTCTTGACGAGGCCCCGAGTTCCCCCGGTGGGAAGGCATATGCCTCGGGCCCGCGGAAGATACATCGCGGGCACTGGGCTCCAGCCCCCTACTGGCCTTCGGCTAGGGTGCAATGCCTTAGGTTCTCAGGGGACCCCCGGCTCCGACCCCGGGGGTACCGACACGGGTGACGACACTCGGGGCGGCCCCATGGACAGTTTGGGTAACGGAGGCGACGCCCCCTCCGCACCCTCCCCGCCATGGCGACCAGCACGCCGACTGGGAGGGGCACAGCCCCCCTCAGCCGGCTAAAACACCGCCCGGTCCCTCGTTTTGGGAGGTGACGCCGTCACGAGAGACCGGGCACTCGTCCTCCACCCCCCCCCCCACATCTCCCCAGGAGACTGGAGACCAGAGAGACGCGCCGCGGTCCTCGAGTTGGGCCTCGAAAAGCGCTCTGCATCGCGCGGGATGCATAAGGCCCCCCCGGCGCGCCGCCCTGCCGACGCCGGCGACACACCCTCCTTTACTTTGGCCCCTCTCGTGGGAGCTGGGGACCCCCGTCCCCCTCTCCCAGGGTCCTCCCCTCGAAGGGTCAGGAATTTCCTAACTCGGCCTTCGAGATTTCTTCCTACTTAAGTTACTATGTCTGAGACCGTGAGCCCCGCTATTCGGTGCCCACGTCTGTCTCCTCCTGTGTGCCTTATAGGCATGAGGGCCGCGGGGAGGGGGTGCTAAATTAGAGTTGGAGAAGCTCCCTCCCCGCGGGATCGAGGTCCGTCGGTATGGACTTCTGACCGTCCTGCTATTCAGTACGGACATCCCTCCTAACTATGGAATATGTCCCCGTGTGGCCTTATTCTTAATTTTTTTTCCTGATGTTTCCCATTCCAAATCTATCTACCTAATCTAATCCAACACGGGGGTTTTCCAATACCTGACTATATTTTAGGTTATGCCTCCTTTCTAATTTGTTTGTTCCAACTCGCGGATTATGGGTCCAGAGAGTTAGCTCTTTCCCTGAGCCTTTCCGCCTCTTATTTTTGTTTAATTACTTTTTCGCAGAACTCTAGTATTGCTTTCCTGCTGCTCGTGTCTCCTCTCAGAGCTCTGATTATGGCCTTGAGGGAGAGATCTGCTCCTATCACTCTTTGCAATTCTATTCTTTCTCCGTTCCACGCTGGGCAATACCCCAGCTTGTGTTTCGCCGAGTCGTTTAATGAATTGCAGTGCCAGCAATTTCGCGTGGCCTCCCTTCCGATCCGACACAGGTACCTCCCGAAGCATCCATGCCCCGTGAGGACCTGCGTCGTCCGGAAGGAGAGGCCTACCCCTGCGTTTAGCCAATCTCTTAGTTGGCTATTTACCGCGCCTAATATGATGTCTTCTTCCTGGGTAGATTCTTTTATCCAGTCTTCCCAATTTCGAATCATTTTTCTCTTAGCGGATTCTCTGATTGTTTCTACTTCTTTTTTGTCTACCGGATTGCCTCCTTCTTTCAGAATAGCTACCCTCTCATAGATCTCCTCGTAGCAGCTTGCTTCTAGTTCCCATGGTGGAACTCCTGCCAGAATTGTATTGACCGCGTGCGAGGTTGTCCTGTACGCTTTGATTATCCTACCCGTGATTCTTCGTTGGGCCCCCCTTAGTATTTGAGTGACCTTTCTATTCTTACTTATCGAGTGCGCCCATATTGGCGCTCCGTATAGGGCTATCGATTTGACGACATTAGTGTATAATTTTCTAGTCCTATCATTCGGACCCCCTAGGTTCGGTAATAGCCTGCTTAACGAGAGGGCAGATCTCTCTATTCTAGGTGCTAACTCTGTGAAGTGATCCGTAAATGTCCACTTACTATCCAGTGTCAGCCCCAGGTATCTCATCTTTTGGCCTACCGATATTTCCATTCCTGCTATGTTAATCGAAGCACTCATTGGTTTTCCTTTTCTATGAAACCCTACGATTTCCGTCTTGGATGGGGCTATTTCTAGTCCCATCCCCTCTATTTTTTGAATGACTGTGCCTGCTGCGAAATTAGCCTCCATCGCAGCGTCATCCCAGTCCTCACCAGATACCAATATGAGCGTATCGTCCGTGTAGCAAATTATGCAGCCTTCTTCCTTTTTATCCACTTTCTTCATAACGTCGTCGAAACCGATATTCCACAGAAGTGGCCCTAGGATGGAGCCCTGTGGAACTCCTCGTTGAACGACTCTATCGCCCATGGTTCCGTCATTTCCTGGGAATGAAAGCTTCCTATCTTTCAGGTAGTCCCTGATAATCCTTCTTAAATATAGTTGCACTTTGTGCTTGTTTAAGGCCTTTCCTATCAGTCCCCATGGCATGGAGTTGAAGGCGTTTTTTATGTCCAACGAAATTCCTATGACCACCTTTCCATCTTCGAACGCGTTGTCCATGTATTCCTTCGCGGTGGAGATTGCGTCTATCGTAGATCTCCCTCTTCTGAAGCCGAACTGTCTTTTGTGCAGATTCGGTCCTCTGTTGTTTAGATGGGAGATTATCCTTTCCGTTATTATTCTCTCTAACAGCTTTGCTTCATCGTCCAATAGACATATTGGACGATAACCGGCTGCCTGATCGTCTGGTTTATTATGTTTCCTGAGAAGCACTAGTGTTGCCATCTTCCACCTTGATGGGAATCTCCCGTGTCTTAGGGCTGAGAACGGTTCCCTCAATTCTTTGGCCATGTCCTTGGTCGCTATAGCCCATGCCTTCGCAGGTACTCCACTTGGCCCTGGGGCCGCGTTTTTTTCTAGCATCTTTTTCGCAGCTAGCATCAGTTCCTCTTGAGATACCTTCATGTCATCTCTCCAAGCTGATTCTCCCTCATTTGGTAACCCTGGCTCCCTCCAATTATCCTCTCTTTCACTTGGGAAAAGCCCGGTTAGCACTTTGTCCAGAGTCTCACTGTTTAGCGACTCAGTGAAAGGAGGTGCCCATCTTCGTAATTTGTTTGTCACTGTCTTGTAGGGACGACCCCATGGATCTTCGTTAAGAGTCAGTACGAATTCCTCCCATGCTTTGGCTTTTGCTTTTCTCAATGCTTTGCTGAAGGTATCTCTGGCCAATCTGAATTCGTTTAGTTTCGCTTCAGTCTCCTCTTCATCTTGTGGATTTCTTTTCCTCCTCGCCCTTCTTAGCCTTCTTCGAGCTGCTGCGAGTTCTGACCTTAGCTGATCCAATTCTGTAGACCACCACGGCATTGCTTTACGCATTTTGGGTTCACTCCTCGGCATGGCGATGCTGCATGCCTCTATCATCGTGTTTTGTAATCTGTTAGCCGTTCTTTCGATCTCCTCTCCTGTAACCTCCTCGGTCGCGTTGTGTTTGGGCCAGCAGCTGGCTATTATTGCCGCTGATAACATGTCTTTATTTAGCTTTTTGACCGCCCATCTTTTTGGTTGAGGGAAGCGTTCCTTCATGTTTTGCATTCTCGTATTGCTGATCTCGATTTCAATATATATATGGTCAGATTTACTCTCTCGGTCCGACACCTTCCACGTCACAAGTCTACTTGCTGCTACTGGAGTAGCGAAGGAGAGGTCCACTATGGACTCCCCTGAGTGTCTAACACAGGTACTTTTACCACCGTGGTTCAAACAGCAGAGACCCAGTCGGCTTGCCCACTCTACTACGATCTTTCCGCGCATATCTGTCTTCTTGGACTGCCACATGGAGGCTTTCGCATTAAAGTCCCCGAGTACATAAATCGGGCTGTTGTCCAACTGTTGAATCAGTTCTTCCAGGTCTTCGAGTTCTTCTTCGAATTGACTCGCGTCCAAGCTGGGGGGGGGAGGTATACTCCAATTAATATTATATCACCCCATCGTATCAACGTGTAACACTTGCCACTTTTGAGAGGAGTGCATGGCATAGGATTTGGTGTTCGCCTCCATGTGATTGCGATCGTTCTGTCCGCGTTTCCAATCCAATGTGGATGGTTTTTTGGGATCCTGTACGGTTCGGATATTATCGCCACCGCGAATTCTCCCTCTGCCATTGTTTGATGTAGCACATCATGTCCATCCTTGGAGTGATTAATATTAGCCTGAAGGATTTTATTGATCATCGTTTTGTTCTTTGTGCTGGAGTCCTCCTTCTCCGTTTCCTTCTTTTCTCGGTGCATCTTGAGTGGTCATTGTCCACTCCTGTCCTAGTTCAGGCCATTCCGTTGCTACCTGAGATGTTTGGTTGCCGGGGATGCTTTCTATTCTGATCTCCTCAACCTCCATTTCTTCCATAATTCTAGTGTCTTCGGACTTAGCTCCCTCTTTTACACTACACTTAGCTAACTGTCTAATGACGCTCGCTTCCCTCTCTTTTCTTTCTTCTGTTCGAGACTGAGTTTGGGGATTATCCTCCACCTCCATTCCCAGATTCTCCTTGTTTTTAGTTGGGTCTTGAGAGAGTTCCCTTCCGCTAGCTCTAGGCTCTTTTTTGCTCTTTCCTTTGATTACAGGAGGTTTGCATGCCCATCCTATGGTCTGCTTTTAAGTTTCTGTTTGTGCATATTACGCAATGTGCCACCTCGCTGCAGTCTTTAGCCATATGTCCGGGTTTTCCGCATCTGTAGCAGAGAGAGCCTCTATCTATCTCACTCTTGCAGTGCATCCTAACGTGGCCCGGTTCTAGGCACCTGTAACATTGGGTAATCCTTTCAGGTAATAAATCAACCCTCGCCATTACTCATCCTACTCATATCCGCCTGTTCTTTGTGATGTTTTTCGCTACTGCCAAGGGGCACCGAATCCACAGTGTACCCAGTTCGTTAATCGACGGGATTATCTCTCCTAGTCTTAGTACCTTGTCGGAGCAGTTCCCATGTAACGTAAGAGCCAAAAGGATGTCCTCTTTTGTTGTGGACTCTTCTAGGTCCTTCATTCGGATGTCTGCCATCTTTTCTAGTCTCGATACCAGAACATCCCGCTGTCCTTCCAGGGCTTGCTGCAGTTTCTCCGCTAGTTTATCTGCTTTGATACTGTTTTCCGCTCCTGGGATCTCCAGCAACAGTGCTTCTGTTCTCGACTTTCTGGGTCTTAGATCATGGATTCCCATTGCGTCTATATCCACCTTTTCTCTTGCTGTACGCATAACCTCTGTGTATGACGCCTCTCCTCGGCAACTGATTTGTATTGCTGCTGTCTTCGGCACTCTTCTGCTGTCCTTGTCTCCTTCCGCCCGCGAGGCTTTGGGAGTTTTCGTTGGAGTGAAGGAGAGAGTTTTCTTCGCTCCGATCTTCTTTCCCGCGCTTGCTGCATGTTTTTCCTTTCTTCCTACAACTCTACTCCAGGGTAGCTCTTTTTCTTTTTCTTCCCTATCTATTTCCTCTTCCAGAGTTGTCCTTGTTTTTTCCTTCTCGGTATTCTTAGAAGAAGTCTCTTTAGAGTTGGCTTTAGTGCCCTTGTTTTCTACTTTTGTATACTTTCTATCCATGTCTTTGCTCTTTCCTTTTTCCAGCCTGACTGGTGTTTTCAGTGTTTGGATGTCCGTAATAACTGATTTTCTGTTAGCTTTGGAAAGTTCCTCAGCCACGATTCTCCTTATCATGTCTGCCAGGTTATGCGTGTCGACATCTGTTTCACTTCTTCTGCTCTTAGGTCCCTGTCTTTCCTTCCTTACCAGTTGATCTGTGGTCAGTTTTTTCTTTATTGCCTTCCGAAATATACCTCTTATGGGCTTCGTATATTGCCCTTTTTGAGTCCGGATCTTCCTCTATAATTTTTCTCTTCCCACACAGCGTTGGTCGAATTACCTCTGGCCATTTTTCTGGGTTGTCCAGTATAACCTTCTTTGTTCTGGACGTCTTCTCGTCTACATCCATGTACTCAGACTCTGACGTCATGAGCTTGTCCCTCTCTTTTATTTTGTCCGATGGAATTCTTCTCGGACTCTTTTTGGTTGTGTCAGAGGCTGACTTTCCTCTGTTGTTTCTCTCTTTGTCTTTTTCTTTAGGACTGGGAGTTTTGTCCTTTTTCTCTTGCCTTTCTTTCGCCTTTTTGAGCGCCTGTAGCTCCGATTTATACGCCTCCGCTTCGCCTTTCGCTTGTAGCGCTTTTCGCTTCTCGCTTTCTAAGCCTTCTTCTAGTTTGTGTTTTAGCTTAGCTATTTCTCGCTTTAGTGCTCTGACTTCTTCTGATTTTGAGTCTTCTTTAGAGAGCTTTGCCCTTTCTTTCATAATGTCGAAGATCCCCATGGACGTCGATGCTGCGATCTTCAGACTTTTTTGAAATGTTCCTTTCAGATTACTGGAACATCTCGCAATTCGCATAACCTCCGTCATATTTTCGCTTACTTTTTCTTGTAATTCCTCTAGAGAGTTCCCTTCCATTTTTTCTTTGATTTTATCGATATCAACTTTTGCTTTCTTAAAAAGCTCAAAGCTGCTGTACTCTCTGATTAATTTTTCCCTGTCTAGCTGTAGGGATTCTTCCTTTGCCTCATTATATCTTTGTATGGCTTCTCTCCTGCCAACATAATCTCCCGTTGTTCTGCTTCTCCTGTTGTCACTGTCCACATCCGAGACCATTCTTTCCCTTTTCCTGTTACCGGTTGTTCTTTGTATTCCTGAATTCCCAATGTTTACCTTTTCCGGTGGAGATACGTCAGAGTCTTCCTCAATTACGGCTCTTCTCCTCCTGTTCCTTCCATAGTCCGGTACGTCGCTGTCCGAAGAGCTTATCTCGTACGTCTCCGTGTCCATCGCAGAGGATTCCCGGCTGTGACTCTCTGCTGTCCTTCCTTTGAAAGATTTAGGGCCTGGTCTTTTAAAGAACGAAGAGGTAGAAGGCCGATTAAGGTTTCCTCCAGCCTCCTCCGTTCCAGAGATTGCTTCTCGATGTCGACCACCGGTAGCGTATGTTCCTTCCTTTCTTTTCGTTCTTCAGGAATAGGATCCTGAAGTAAGTCCTCTATGTAGATCGTCTGGCAGAGCTGATCCGTCGGCGACCGCTCCACCTCCATCATCTCCTTGTTAGGTACGTCGATACTCGCCCTTTCTATCTCCGTCTTCTCGAGTGTAGTTTGTTTCTTGTTTAAATCCATGTCTGTATTTTTCCCACTCCCCGTGTCGGCTGCGCCTT